GCCATGGGACCCGATCCCAACATTTTTCTGGTCGTTCAGGCGTGGTCCCCACCAACAAACAATCCTCCTACTTCTGAAAAAGAAACCCGACCTCTGAGGAGCTGTGATTTATTCTGGTTTATTCTTTATTTAGTCAGACTGCTGTGGGTAGCAGGTGGTGTGTCTGTGTCTGCCAGCACCTGTGTCCCTGGTATCACCTGAGCAGTGCCAGGCGAGGGGACAGTGCTCCATCCACACCTCAGTTTGAGTCCTTGCAGGTCTGAACAATCTTTTGTTGTCACGTTTATCAGTGTCTTCAGCTCATCTAGAAATTTGGCTCATCAACCAGCAYATTCATAAAATCACAGAATGGTCTGGATTTGAAGGGAGATTAGGGACCATCCAGTGCCCCCCACTGCCATGGGCAGGGACAGCTTCCACTATCCCAGGTTGCTCCAAGCCCTGTCCAACCTGGCCTTGGACACYCAAAGGGATCCAGGGGCAGCCACAGCTGCTCTGGGCACCCCGTGCCAGGGCGTCACCATCCTCCCAGGGAACAATTCCTTCCCAATATCCCATCTAACCCTGCCYTCTGGCAGTGGGAAGCCATTCCCCCTTGTCCTGTCCCTCTCCAGCTCCAGCCCTCACCACCCTGAATTAGTCCTGTGGGAYTTTACTCCTTGATTCAGCCACTTGAAGACAGAACATTAGACTCAGCAACTGAGAAATCACATCCACCAGAGAGGGATTGCTCCATGGGCACAAGAATTTGAGCTCTAATGTTGCTTCCAGGCTGCTGTGAAGCAGCACCTTGCTGTAGGAAGGCAAATGAAATCCAGGGATTTTGTTTGAACTAAAGGCAGGAGCTGATGGACAAGCAACGACAGACATTTGCTGACAGACAAAGGCTGAGGCCAGCCTKATCTGGGATTGCTGCGACCTTGTGGACCAAGGTCCAGCTTCACAGACCATCTGTGCCCCAGTCAGTCACCCTGAGCAGACCTGGGATCCACGCAGACCACTGCACCATCACCCAGCTCTCACCCTGGAAATCACCTCCCTGTTCTGGGGGAGCAGGAGTGCAGGGACGGGACAATGGGCCATGGGACCAGGAGGTGACAGGTGACTGGTTTGCAGGGTTGTTCCCTCTTTGCAGTGCATAGGAATGTTGACAATATGCAATGCTGACATAATGCAATGTTGACATCAATGGTGCAGGGATCTCTTGAAGCAGAAAGTTTTGGTCACCCCTGGAGGTGACCTGGAGGTCACCCCTGGAGGTGACCCTGGACTCCTGCTGCAGGAGCTCTACTCAGTCAGCCACAGCACTGTCCTCCCCCATCTTACAGAGCAGCATCCCAAAGGGCAAAATGCCACAGCTGAGACAGAGGGACCTCACAGCCCTGTCCCAGCTCTCCACACACCTTGCTGTCCTCTGAACCTTTTTGCCATGCAGCACTGCCAGAGCACCCCGATACAGAGCAGCCCCAGGTGCCACAGCGAGGAGGGGTGGTCCTGCTGGTGTGGGAGGCTCTCCCTGGAATCACCCCCCATGTTTTGGTACAATTATTGAAGCTCTTCCCAAAATCATGTTCTATGTTGTTTATGAAAAAGAATAACATGCAAGGGTAGTGTAACATGATGTGTAAGGATTGACTGCAGTGAGCAAGGCCTGCTGGGGGTGTTCTCAATGCCACACCATAAGAAAAGCCACCCTGAGACAGCCAGTAAGAAATGCAGCATGCCTTTTTCTGCTCAAACCTGAGCTCTCTGTAAGCAAAGCTGGAGCTTTGCTGAGCTTGAGGCTGAATGAAAAACTCCTTGTTTAATACCAGGGTGGTCCCGACTCTAGAAAATTATCTAACTCTGTTTGGAACTGGTTTTTGGCCCCGCTGTGTCATACTCTGATGATGACTTACTGGATTAATTATGTGCAATGTGAAGGAGCACTGGTTCTTGTCCCAGTCCTAGCATCTGAAAGCTCCTCTAGCTGTCCTGCTGCTGTGAAAAACAGCATTGTCCAGCACTCCGGTGGTTTTCGAGGTCTCTGAAGCATCTTCCTTAAATATTGTTTGTCTGCACCAAAATGGTTTCATTTTGGAAGCAGTCCATGCTGATGGTGGTCTGGAAAGTGCCTCGGTCTGTTTTACTGGTTGGAGAAGGGACTTGTAATGAATGGCAGGCAGCAGGATCCAGGACAAGTGTGACAATGGGCTTTGCTTTAGCTCTGACTTCAGATAYWTGCAGTGATCACCACTAAACACCAGGCTCAGATTTCAGAGAGCCACTGAGATTCCATGTGTGTCCCACCAAAACCCCAAAAGCACTTTCTGAAGCCCCACTCTGTATCAC